GGGGGGGGGGGGGGGGGGCGAAGGCGCGGCGGCGGGGACTTCGCGAGAAACCATGCAGCCCGCTGGCAGACCCGCACAAGGCTGTGACTAGTGTGCCCGGGAGGGGGGGTGGGCCCCCGGCCGGGGGTGACTCCGGCGCGACTGGGGCGCACGGCGAGAAGGGGCCCGGCGGACGGCGCGCACGGCGAGCACGTCCAGCGGCCGGATGATACCCCCCGGGTATTAACATGCCCGGCGCCGGCGCGCCCGCCCGCGTGTCCATCGCCCGGGCAGCCGGCACAGGGCAGGGCAGGGCAGGGCAGGGCGGGGGGAGCGGTGCGCCGGGCGGGCACGCATTCCTCCGTCAGCTGCCGGCCAGCCCCTGCGCAGGGCCTCCGGCGCCCGACCGCGCATGGGCCGGGCTTGACCCCGCCTCCGGGCCCGGTGGCCGGCGCGCATATATCGGGTGGATAAATATTTGCCATATATTCCCCTTGCCCGGGGCACGGGGGGGCGATGGCCCGCGCGATATTGTGCTATGGTTCCGGCATCAGGCACAGGGGCCCGGGGACTCAGCGCCAGCCGGGGTGTCCCGGGGTCCGCCCCCCCCCCCAAAAGGGCCCGGGGCAGGGCCAAAGAAGCACACACACCGCGGCCTTCATTCTTCGAGCCCCATGCCTGTGTGTTCTCTCCGCCCGCCCGCCCCCGCCCCCGCCCCCCGGTGCCCGGGGGCCAACTGTCGTCTGGGGGAGGTGCCGGCGGACCCGTCAACGCGGTCGGCTAAATGGCGTGGCCCAGGGCTGGCCCCCAAGCGTCGATGGTTTAGTGGTAGAATTGCCGCCTGCCACGCGGTAGACCCGGGTTCGATTCCCGGTCGACGCAGACCCCCTTTTTTGGGCGCGCCGCCATTCTCGCACGCCCGCGCCCTCGGGGAGACACATGCAGCAGGGGGGCGGGGGGGCATGGGGGAGAGAGCCACACAGAGCCGGGGGTTGGTGGATTCTTCATTCAACCTCCGGCTTCGGCGCGCGCGCGCGCACGCACGCGGCTGGGCGAGGCAGGAATATGTGTATTCGTCCCGGGCCACCGGGCGGATGGAGGACACGCCTCGCCCCCCCCCGCCCCCCCCCTCCCCCCGCGGCCGCGGAGGGAGGAGCCCAGGAAAGGGGGAAGGCATGGGGCTCGGCGAGAGAGGGCAGGGAGTCTGCCGGCCGCTGGACTTGGTGCGCCGGCGCCGCCCCGTGCTGCCCTGCGAAGCACGCCGGGGCATGCCATCTTACACAGGCGTCCCGGCATCGGAGGGGGCAGGGGCGGCGGCGGCGGCGGCCAGCTCGGCCAGGCGGGCCTGCAGCTGGGGCGCCGTCGGCCGCCGCTCGAAGTCCTCCTGCCAGGTGTCCTGCAGCAGGGTCTCCAGGGGGCAGGCCACCGAGGCCGGCCAGCGGGCGAGGGCCTCCTCCACCGGGGGCCGGCCGCCGGCCAGGACCTTCGTGGCCAGGTCCTCGATGCCGAGGCCGCGGTAGACTGCGGCATGATGTCGGGCGCGCGGGAGGAGGAGCGGCGAAAGGGGGGAGGCACAGAGGGGGAGGCATACGGGCACAGGGGGGCGGTGCAAGGTGTCGGTCAGTGGGCCGGGCCCGGGGCGCGGCGGGTCCCGCCGCCGGCGAAGGGGCGAAGGGGCAGCCGAGCTTACGCACCGCGGCCGGGGGGGATCCGCGAGAAGAGCCCCCACAGGAGGATGGCGCTGGAGTAGATGTCCGACGCCAGGGACAGCTCCGGGGCCAGGGCCTTGCGCGCGAAGAGGGCCTGCAGGCACTCGGGCGAGGCGAAGGCCGCCGAGAGGGCATTCAGCCGGACCGGGGCCACGGTCAGGGCGTTCTGCCGGTCGGGCGAGACGCTCTTGGATCCGCCGAGGTCGGCGATGGCCGCGTACCAGCAGGCCCCGGCCACCCGGCGCACCAGCACATTGGCCGGCTTGATGTCGCAGTGGGCAATGCGGGCCTCGTGCATGGCGGTCAGGCCGCGGGCTGCGGGGCGTCGTGCGCGATGCCGCGGCCGTCACGGCGATTGGCGCGCGGGCGCCACACACACGCAGACACATATACACCGGTTGGCGGTCAGTGACCCGGGGTGAGGGGCGAGCGTCGGCCGGCGAAAGGGAGCACCCCCCCCCGCCTCCACGTACCGAAGCCCTGGGCGATGCCGAGCGTTTCCCCCAGCGACAGGGGCACCTCCGAGGCCAGCAGGTCGTCGAGCGGCGTGTCGAACAGCTCGAGGATGATGGTCGGCGGCGAGTCGGAATACCCGTACATTTGGATGACGTTGGGCTGGCCGCGCAGGAGCCTGGCCGGTGGCCACGTCGCGCCGTCACCAGACGGTTAGGACGGGTCAATACGAGGGGGGGGAGAAGCGGGCCACACGCAGGTGCATGTGCGCGGGAGGGGCCCGCCCGGGCACGCACCACAGGAGGGCGATCTCATGCTGGAAGAGGAACTGCTTGGACCGGACGCGCATGTCCTCCTCTGGGCACGGCGGGCCGAGAGGGACAGCAGGGGCCGGGGGACAGAAGGGGCGTTGCGCGTGAGCATCGGGCCGGGGAGGCGCGGGGGAAGGGGGCGACACGGGGCGGCAGGGCGCGAGCGCGCCAAAAGGCGCGTCGCCAAGCCCCTGCCCGGGCCGCGGCACGCATGCGCACCTTTGAAGCGCTTGATGGCCACGCGATCCGGGCACTTGAGGCGTTCGCACAGGCCCGGGCCGACGACCCGCGCGCTGAAGACACTGGCCTGGGTGCCGGCGCCGAGGGTGCCGCCGGCCTCCGGCAGGAAGTCGTCCTCCAGCGACACGAGGGCCGCCCCGGGGAGGGACAGCTCCATGGCGGTGTTCAGCACGGTGGCGTCCTGGTCATCGAGCTCGAACTCGTTGGGCATGGTTTTGTAGTGGCGCCGGCGCCCACGCAGGAAGTACACCAGCGCCAGGCCCAGGACCCCCAGGAGGACCAGCAGCAGCAGGCCAATGCCGAGCCCCATGCCGAGGGCTGGGCCCCGGGCCGCCGACAAGCGGGCCCCCCCGAGGAGCAGACGCCCGCCGACAAGCGGCCAGCCGGGCACACAAGCATGAATGTCAGTGGAGGCGAGGGGCAAGCGAGCGAGGGGGCGAGCAAAAAAAAAAAAGAGGCCGGGGATGGGCCGGTGCGTGGCCCGGCGCCGCGGGCCGACGCACCCGCGCGGGGGGAGACCCCGTGCGGCCGGGTGCAGTGCTCGGGCAGCGGGCCGTCGCACGAAGAGCACCCCGGGGCACAGGGGGCACAGTGCCAGGCCGACGGGCCGTGGACTTCGTAATGGCCCGCCGGGCAGGCGGCCACACAGGCGTCGGTGTGCTGGTCGACCGGCAGCAGGAAGAGCCCGGCCATGCAGCGATTGCACCGGCCGATGGGGGGGCATTGGCGCGGGCCGGCCGGCAGCGGGGCCCCGGCATGGGGGCAGATGTCCGGCAGGGGGGCCCCGCCCGGTGCCGGGCCGGCCGCATCCAGGGCCTCCTGGCATGTGTCGCAGTCGGCCACGGTGCATGCGAGGCACAGGCGCTCGGGCGGGCTGCCGGGCCCCGGGGCCCGGGCGAAGCCGGCCCCGGGGCAGCCGCTGGGCAGGCACCGGCCCTCCTGCGGCAGGAGCCAGTCGGTGCCGCGGGCGCAGGCCGTGCAGAAGTCCGCCGACCCGTGGCACCGGGCGCAGGGCGCATGGCACCAGGCACAGGTGACCCCATCGGCCAGGGGGAATTCCCCGGCCGGGCAGGCGCCGGCCACGCACCGGCCGTCGGTGGTGCGGAAGTGCCCCGGGGCGCATGCCAGGCAGACCGGCCCGGCGCATGTGCCATCGAAGTCCGGCACCAGGCACTGCTGGCAGCCAGCCGGGCAGGGGACACACATGCCGGTGGCCGGGCAGGCGGCCTGCCCCTCGGGGCAGTCGGCCAGGCAGGCGGTGGGCCCGGTGGGCGCCTGCCGGGACAGCCCCAGCGGACAGGCGGTGCACTGGTCGGCCGGGGCCCCGGCGCAATCGAGGCAGTCCGAATGGCACTGCTGGCAGGAGGCGGCCGCCGGCTGGGGGAAGGTGCTGATGGGGCACTGGCCGAGGCAGCGGCCCTGCCAGAGGATGGCCCCGGCCGGGCAGGCGGAGCAGCCGACCCCCGAGCCGTCGGTGCACCGGGCACACGTGGCATGGCATGGCAGGCAGACGGCCTGGCCGGCCGGGGCGAAGGTGCCACTCGGGCAGGCGGCCAGGCACTGCCACTGGTGCAGGACCAGCCCCTGGCCGGGCTGGCAGGAGAGGCACTGCTGGCTGCCGGGCCCGGAGCAGGAGGCGCATCCCGGCCAGCAGGGCAGGCACTGGGCGCCGACGGCCACGCTTCCCGGGGGACATGCCGGCAGGCAGGTGTCCTGGCCGCCGGAGCTCGAGGCATGGAGGAAGAGGTGGCGCTCGCAGTGGGTGCACACTTGCGGGGCGGCCGGGCACCGGACACAGCCGCCGGCCTGGCAGGGGACACACGCCCCGCCGGCGACCATGAAGCCGGCCGGGCAGCTGGCCAGGCACTGCTGGCCACCGCCCGGGGTCGGGAAGAGCAGCAGGTCCGACGGGCATGCCTGGCAATCGGTGAACCGGGTGCCGGTGCAGGTGGCACACGACTCGTGGCAGGGCAGGCACCGGCCGGCCACCGGGACGAAGCCCGGCGAGCACTCGGCCTGGCAGAGGCCATGCTCGATGAAGCGCGCCGAGTCGGCACACATCCAGCACTGGGAGTCCAGCGGGCCGCCGCACACGGCACAGGCCGGGTCGCAGGGCAGGCAGACATCGACCGCAGGGTTGCCGGGGTCCTGGGCGTGGTATTGCCCGGCCGGGCAGCGGGGGTCCTCGCAAGTGCCCGAGCCGGGCTGCGGATGGCCCGGGTCCGCCACCCATGCCAGGCCCGGGCTGCAGGTAAGGCAGGCATCGGACCCGGGCCCGTGGCAGGTGGCGCATTCGGGGGCGCAGGCCCGGCACTGGCCGGCGGCCGACGCGTCGACCTGGGCATAGGTCCCGGTCGGGCACTGGTCCTCGCACCGGCCGTCCGGGGTGAGCAGCCCGCCGGGGGCACACTGCAGGCAGGCCCCGCCGCCGCCGGGCGGGCACAGGGCACAGGGCCGGGCCCCGGAGGCCGGGCATGCCGAGCACACCCCGGGCCCGGAGAACCGGTGACCCTGGCTGCATGCCGTGCAGATGTGCGCGGCGTCGGCGCACTCGGCACAGGTGGCGTGACATGGCTGGCACCAGTCGGTCTGGCGGAAGGAGCCCACCGGGCAGGCGTCCGTGCAGAGGGCCGCGCGCTGGAGCTCGAAGCTGGGCCAGACAAAGCCCGGCGCGCACTCGAGACACTCATCGGCAGTGGAGCATTTGAGGCAGGAGGCATTGCACAGCCGGCAGACGCCGTCGTCCAGGAAGAAGGGCCCGTCCAGGCACCCGGTGCATTGGTCGGCGGAGGAGCACTGGGCACAGCCGGCCGAGCAGGGGAGACACCGGCCATCGGCCAGGGACTCGTACATGCCCGCGGGGCAGCCGACAGGGCAGGAGCCATTGTGGAGGAAGAGGCCGTCCTGGCACTTGAGGCACACGTCCGGCCGGAGACGGTCGCACTGGCGACAGGTGGAATCGGTCTGGCAGGGCTGGCAGCGGAAGACATGGGGGTCGGGGCCGGCGCCCGGGTCTTCGGTGTCCGGCCAGAAGCCCTCGCGGCAGGCGGTGCACTGGCCCGGGGCCCGGCACTCTTGGCAGGGCGCGTGGCATTCCTGGCAGGAGTCGCGGCCATTGCCGAGCAGGCGCGGGTAGAATGTCGGACTGCATGCGGTGACGCAGTGGCCCGCCTCCAGGAGCCACCCATCGGGGCAGGCGGTGCAGGTGTCGCCGGTGCCGGAGGTGCATTCGCGGCACTTCGGATGGCAGGGCTGACAGATGGGGACCGCGGCGAAGTCGTCGCTCAGGTAGAAGCCCGAGCCGCAGACATTGACGCAGGTGCCCTCCTGGAGTGGGATGCCCCCGGGGCAGGTGGTGCAGTGGTTGGCTGCCGGGCCGGAGCACGTGTCGCAGGAGGGGTGACAGGGGGTGCAGGCGCCGGGCTGGGCATCCGGCGTGGGGAAGAGCCCGGCCGGGCAGTGGTGCTTGCACTGGTCCTGCACCGGGGGCTGGCCCGTCGGGCAGGAGGTGCATTGGTCGGGCTCCGTGCCGGAGCATGTGGCGCATGAGGGGTGGCAGGCCCGGGCAAGCCGCTGGTCTAGCAGCTCCGGCAGGTAGCAAAAGTGGCCGGGGGGGCAGCCATCATGGCAGCGCCCGGCGAGCAGGGTCTTGTCGTCGGTGCAGAGGGTGCACTGGTCGGCCGACGGGCCGCGGCATTCGCCGCAGCTGGCATGGCAGCTCCGGCAGACGGTCGGATTGGTGGAGTGGCGATAGGTCCCGGGCGGGCAGGCTGCCGGTGGGAGGCATTGGCCGGTGGCCTGATCGAGCAGGAGCCCAGGCAGGCAGGCCGTGCATTGGTTGGCCGAGGGGCCGGTGCAGCGAGTGCACGTGTGGTGGCAGGGCTCGCAGGCGCCATTCGGCGAGTGGGCAAAGGTGGAGAGCCCCTCCGGACAGGGGAAGGCACATGCGCCGGAAGGGAGGCGGATGGTTCCCGACTGGCAGAGGGTGCAGTCGGTGGACTTGGGCCCGGTGCAGGCCGCGCAGTGGGGGTGGCACGGAGCGCAAGGCCCGGTGGCCGGGGCATACTGGCCGTGGGGACAGCGGTCGTGTGGGGGGAGGCAGGTAGGATGGAGGGTTGGCTCGGAGAGGCACCTGCCACAGGGTCCGTCATAGTCGGGCGTCGGGTGCCTGCCGAAGGGGTTGCAGCCGATGTCGGCGCAAAAGGTCGGGCAGGCCAGGCACAGGGATCCTTCGTTGGCTTCGTAGTGCGTCGGTGGGCAGGCGTCAATGCACCGGCCGTTGAGGAGGATCTTGGCGCATCGGGTGCATTGGTCGATGGCGGGGCCACTGCAGTCGAGGCACGATTCGTGGCATGCGACGGTCAAGCCTGGGCCAGCTATGAAGATGTGTGTTTGTGTGTGTTTGTGTGTGTTTTTGTGTTTTTGTGTGTGTTTTTGTGTTTTTGTGTGTTTGTGTGTGAGTGTGTGTATGGGTGTGAGTGTGTGTTTTTGTGTGTTTGTGTGTTTGTGTTTTTGTGTTAGTGCGTTTCGGTGTGTGTGAGTAGGCATGTGTGCATGTGTGCATGTGTGCATGTGTGCATGTGTGTATGTATGGGTGCATGGGTGCAGGTGACAAGATGGGCACAGGGGGGGGGGGGGATCGCGCACAGGAAGAGCGTAGGAGCAGGCCCGGAGGGTGGGTGGGCGACTGGGCCGGGGTCGGCAGCCCAGTGGCCGGCTTGGCCGGCAGGGCAAGCCAGCAGGCTGCCAAGAGCAGCAACAGCAGCAGTGCCCGCGGCGACCAGGCCATGATGGCGTCTTTTCGGGCGACGAGGCGAGGCAAAGGAGAGGCGGCGGGGCCGGTGGGACAGAAAGGGGGGGGGGGGCGGGGCGTGGGGCGGGGCGGGGGCTGTGGCAGACACCCGAGCGACCGGCCAGCCCCGGCGCAGGGTCCGCTTATAGGCGGTCGCCCGGGACACCGGGCGGTGTCGGGCTGCGAGGCGCGCCGGTCCCCCGGCGGCCGGGTGATCCTCCGGCCCGTACGGCCGGCCGCGGGGGGCAAAGGCCAGGCGGGCGCGCTCGCAGGGCCGGGGGAGGGCGACATTCGAGGCACCGGACGGGGGAGGGGGTGCCGGTCGCCGCGGCCGGCGGCCCGGCCCGGGGTCCGGGGTGCGGCAGCCCCCCCCCCCCCCCCGCTGCCAGGCTGTTGTCACGGCCGCGGGCTGGCCAGCGGCGAGGAGGGTTCGCCGTAGGGCGGCAGCGAGGGGGCTGGCGCACGATCCGCTGGCACCGTGGGAAGGTCGATTGCAACAAACAAGGATTGGGACAGGGGGCCGCTGATGAGCCGGCCGGCCGGCCGGCCGGCCGGCCGGGAGCAGGGACGAGGGGGCGAGAGCGGGCGGGGGTGCGGCGCGGGCGGGTCCTTCGTTGCCGGCGGGCGCGCGCTTCTTGTGCCTCATTCGCCGGGTCGGGCCCCGGGATGCGTCTGGCGAATAGCCTACGCACCTTCTGTGTGCCTGCATTTCCCCGGCGGCGCAGAAGGGCAGGGGTGCCGGGCCCGAACGAAGGGCCGGGCGAAAGAGGGGCGGCGGACATTTCGCCGGCTCATTAGCCCCTCCCCCCCGGGTCAGGGGCGGGACGCTTGCTCCAGACACCAACGCCCGGGGGGGGGGGTTGCGTGCGAACGGCTGCAGGCCGCCAACATGGCGGGGCACGCTTCCAGGGGGGCACGTGGCTGGAGGAGGCGGTAAATGGATCGCCGTCTCTGGATGATGGGCCGCTTGGAAAATAGGGCGCGGGGGTGCGGTGAACTTGAAACGCGGCGTCGGGCCGCGAGGGCAGAAGCGCGAGCGAGCTGGGAGGCGGGCCGCCCCCCCAGGGCCGCCGCCCCTGGCCCGGGGCACGCGCGCGGCGAGGACGGAGCGTTGGCAGCGTCGGCGCTAACGCGTGGTCACGCTCCGAGGCGTTGGCCCATCGACCGGGATGCCAGACTGAGGGGTATGTGTGTGTGCCCATGGCCGGGCAGGGCGTCTCGTCCGTTGTGGGGTATGTATATTCTCGTCGGCCCAGAACCGACGGCAGATCACGCGGCATGCCGGGCTTCCGGCTGGGGTGCTTTGCGGGAGAGCGTCCCCGGCGGCGGGACCGCCTTCGGACGGAGAGGCGCCCCAGGGCGATGGGCCACGCCGCGCAGCACAGACAAGCCGGCCTCCGGACACGTTCTCCCTCTCTGGCGCAGGGTGCGCATGCGGCCGCGCGCACGGGTCGCCTTCCGGTGGCCGGTGCCGCGCGTTATGGGCGTCCATGGCAGTGCTCGGTGCCAGGGCACCGGCGTCATGGGAAGGGGGGGGGCGGCTTCCATGCGAAAGGCCTTCTGGTGCCTGGGCAGCTCTCGGCGCACCCTTGGTGTGGCGACTGGTGCGGCTTTGCCCGGCCTGGGGCCGCCGAAATCCGTGCAGTGCCCCCTTCCCGGGCGTATGTGTGTGTGTGTGTGGGGGGGGGGGGGTGGCTGGTGTCATGCGGCGCTGCTCGGATTCTCCCGGGCCCGGTGATGGGACTGTGTCGGCTGGCGGTTCGCAGCCATGCAGGGGGAATCCGCGCGCGGGGGAGGACATGTCCTGTCGCCGACCGAGGGGACAGGAGCTTTCTCGGGGGGTGCGTCCCTTTCCGGGCACGGAGCCAGCGGGAGCGCCGCGTCACCCGGGTGGAGGGCCGCCCCCAGGGCGGGGGACATTTGGCGCGGCGCGAATGGATGGTTGCGGCTGCTGTGGCGGGGGGGGGGGGGGGGTCTGTCCTCCCCTTGGCACGCACGGCCGGATGATGGTGATGCCTGTGCCGATGGCTCGGCGCGTGGCGTGCGAGCCTGCGGCCGGGGTACCCGAGTGTGGGGCCACGCCCAGAGCCGGTGGCCGCATGGGCGGGTGTATGGCACATCCCCCCGGGGGAGGAGGGGGCCAGGGGAGAGAGGTCTGGCCGAGCTGCTGAGGCGGCCACATGCCGCTCTGGGGCGGGACACCGGGTACAGTGTGCGCGCACCGGTGTGACCAGCGCGCGCGTGTCTGTCGCTGGGTAAGGGGACCATCGTGGCTGCTTGTGCGCATGTAGATGTCGGTGTGGCTGGCGGCGTGCCGACCGAGGAGGGGACGCTGGGGCGGCCGAGTCGGGGCAGTGGCCAGGAAAGGGCGGGCAAAGGGGCCGTGCGGGGGCCCGCTCGGCCGTGTCGGGGTGGCTCAGGAGCGGCGGCGGGCCAGGCCGCCCCCAGGGCCGAGCCGGCAGCAGGCCGCACACCGGAGGATGCATGGCTGCTCTAGTGCCGGCCTGTCGGCCGTGGGCGGCCCGTGCGGCGAGCTGCTCGGGCCCCGCCGACCCCGGAGCGAAATGTGCTCGGGGGCCGATGCCGCGTCGGGGGCGGGCCGGCCCCGTGCCGCAGGGGGCGTCGCGCCCGGCCTGTGGACTTGGAGCATGTCCTGGCGGCGGGACCGCCATCCCTGGAGCCGGGGGGGGGGGGGGCGAAGGCGGGCCGCGCGCCCCGGCACATGGGGGATGTGCCCCCCCCCCCCCGAAAAAAAAAGGGCCGGCTATTCTGCCAGGTGGCGACGCCCGCGCGTGTGAGGGCGCGCGGCGCGCCGGCCCGGGGCTGCCGCCCCCCCGCCCCCCTTGCACGCTGCTGGCGGGCGGCTCTCGGCCAGGTGTGCCGCCATGAAAAGAAACCGATGGGCCTGGCCGGGTTCTCGCGCGTGGCGGGCCGACAGACGGCCCTCTTTCCGGCGGCGAAACGGCCGGGCCGAAAAAAGAGTAGCGACTGGTGGTTTCGATCCACCGACCTTTGGGTTATGAGCCCAACACGCTTCCCCTGCGCCAAGTCGCTCGAGCTGACGGCCAACCGGGCTCTCGGGCTTTTGAACCACCCCGTCGCACCGTTGGCAGGCCCGGGGGCGCGCGTTGCCCGGCACCGGCAGGCTGTTTGTTGTTGTTTTTTTCCCCCCGCCCCCTGCGGCCCCTTTTCGGCCGGCAATCTACGCGGCGGCAGGGGCGCCCCCGGCCGGACCGGCATCGACACCGTGGAATCCCTCTTTGGCCGCCTCCCCCCGCGCGCCTATCTGCTCCCTCCCTCTCTCCCTCTCTCTCCCTCCCCTCTCTCTCTCTCTTTCTCTGCACTCCCGCCGGGAGCTCCCTCCCCCAGGCCCTCGACGCCCCCGTCGACCCCTCGAGCAGCGGGCCTCCTCCCACTCGGGCCTCTGCCGGCTGGGCTTCACACGAGTCGGATGGGCTCGTTGGAGTGCGCGGACCCGGCCCCCACCGGGGTCGAGGCGGCCATGCGGCTCGCCGACGCGGTGGAGGCCGGCACCGAGGCGCCCAGCGTCGGTCTGCTGGAGCGCCTCAAGGAACTGGCCGACGATCCGGCGGCCGCGGTACACGCGTGCCGGGCCCTTGCGGCGGTGGCCCAACGCTGTGCGTGACGCGGGGCCCGTGTGTGTGTGGGTGTGTGGGTGGGTGTGGGCCATTTGGCTGCGGGTTCTCTTTTGCTTGGCGCCCTTGTGCTTCCGCGGCGCGCCGGCCGGGGCCGCGCGGCGTCGACCCCGTCGCTGACACTCGCAGCAGCGCAGACAGCCGGGCGCATGGTCAACCGGGCGGTGTTCCTCCGCGCCCGGGCGTTTGCCACGTCGTCAGACCCGCAGGTGGTGGGCTTCTCGGCGTGGGCGCTGGCCGGGCTGGCGCTCAATGGTGCGCGATGGCCGCCGGGGGTGGGGGCTTGTGCCGGGCCTTCTCCGCGCCCCATGTGCTTGGCCATAGGGTGCGAGGGTGCTAACACGTGGGAGGGCCGCAGCTGAGTGCAACCCCCCTGGGGGGAATGAGGCGATCCTGCGGCATCTGCGGTCGCTGGCCGAGCGGCCGGGGCGCACCGGCCCAACGCACACCGCCGTGGCCATGGGCCTGGCCCACCTGGCGCTCAATGGTACGCCGAGGCCGCTAGTCCTGTGTTGCATTCGTTGCCCCTCGCTCCTGACGGTGGCTCGACCCTGTTGCGTGCGCCGTCGCGGGGGCGTTGCAGAAAGTTTTTCCTCCGGCCACTGGGAGGACATGGTCGCGTGTGCGGAAAGGCTTCTCCGGCGACCGGACCTCGGTGCGGAGGGCTGCTCATGGCTGGCCCTCGGGCTGTCACTCGTGGCCGTTCATGGTGTGTGTGTGTGTGTGCGAATGCCGGTTTTTGCTGGGGCCTTTGCGGCTGCCGCCGCCGGTCGGCCCCCCGGCGGGCGAGGTCTCTAACCCGGTGCAATGACCAGCGCCGCGCCAAAGCACGGGGCCTTTCGCGCGGCGTCTGCTGGAAATGCTGTCCGCGGTCCTGGAGCTGGGCCTCGAGCAGGGGCTGGGCGCGGTCGACGTGGCGCGGCATGTGGGCCGCGGCCTGGAGCGGCTGCTTGCCCCCTGTGCGTGTGTCAAAGTGCCCCCTCTTTTGCCATGCGGCCGGCCTGCGAAGGCGTCCTCACCGGTGCCCTTGTGCTGGGTCACGCACGTTAGCGAGTCTCTACCTGCCGGAGGTGAACCATGCTTTGTTTTGTGCGGTCCTGCGCGTGGCGGCCGTGGCGCGGGATGACATGGACCTGCAGGATTCGGTGGCGCGGTGCTTCGGGCACCTGTCGGTCGGTGGTGCGGTCATCCTGCCACGCATGTGTCCCCTGCCGGTGGCTCGTGCTTATGTACCGCTGTACTGATGTCCTGATAATCCGACATACCGATGGGCCGACATGCTGATGCGCCGGTGCGCCGGTGCGCCGGTGCGCCGCTGCGTCGATGTGCCGATTGTTCCCCCCCCCCCCCCTGGTGACAGCCGTCACGAACAGTAGCCAGCTCAATGGCCAGCTGCTGCAGGCGTCCTTGGCCCTGTCCCGGCGGATGGTCGGGATCCTGTCGGCCGAGACCCAGGCCCTGCGGTGTGTGGTTGGCATTGCCCGGAACTGTACGTCGATGCACGATGCCGGGGGTGGGCCAGGCTGCTGCCTTGGCCCTTGCTGGGCGTCCACCCCTGCCCCCCCCCCCTGCGCGCGCTCGGCCCTTGGCCGCTCTCCGGCATTTTCGTGTGACTGATGGGCGCACCCTCGCGATGCAGCGCGCGACAACCGGCCCGTGGTGAATTGGCTGCTGATGCGGGAGATCCTGGCCGCGGTGCGGCGCGGGCGCGGCCATGAGGAGATGGAGATCTTTGCCCTGGCCGGCCTGGGGCAGCTGGCTTGGAACTGTGCGTTCGTGCCTTGCGGGGCGGGGAGGGCCGGCGGGTGCCCTGGCCTGCATCGGTGGCGGGTGGCCTTTGCTGACGATGGATGCCGGCGGTCGGAGCAGCGCACAACAATGGCTCGCGCATGAACCGCCTGACCATGCGGGCGCTGCTGGACTACACGCATCGGCCGGTGGACGACGTGAAGGTGCAGCGGTTTTTGTCCATCGCCCTGGGCCACCTGGCCATCAATTGTGCGATGCTTGCTGCCTGTCGCGGGGCCGCCATGTGTGCTTTTTTTTTTTCCCCCCCCCCGCGTCTTTTCTTCGCCTCCTGCCTGTTGGTGTTTGTCTCCCTCCGCCTCGGGCCGCGGCCCCGCCGCCTGGCTATGTGCCTCCGCGGCGCGGTCCCGGGAAACTAACCTTCGACGACTCGCGGAATGGGAGCAGCCCTGCACAACCGGCAGTCGTTCAATGTCCTGATCCTGCGCCAGCTTCGCCTGGCCATCGCGCGGGCGCCGGATGACTTCGACACGCAGGAGTACGCCATCGCGGCGCTGGCCAACCTTTGCGGCAGCGGTGCGCGCTCTTTGGCCCATGGGGGGCCGCGAAGCAGGCTTCTTTTTCTCTCTCTCTATTTTCTCTATTTTCTCTATTTTCTCTATTTTCTCTATTTTCTCTATTTTCTCTATTTTCTCTCTCCATCTCCCCCTTTTTCTCTCTCCCCCTCCCCCTTTTTCTCTCTCCCCCTCTATCGCCCGCTGGCCGGCTCACATTCCGACGTGCACGCCTTGGGCGGTGTCCTCGGCGCAGCGACGCGCAACTGCCCGCGCATGAATGCGGCCCTTTTCCAGGCCCTGAGTCTGCAGGATGCGTACGACGCGGCGCACTTCCACAACCGCCGGCTTCTGGGCATGATGCTCCTGGCGAACAACGGTACGGCGTGCGGGGCGTCGGGGGCTTGCCTGGTCTCTTCTCTTTTTTCCCCCCGCCTGCCTCTCGGATTTAACACCTCTCGGCGGAGCAGCCCCGGCCAACCGGCGTCGGCTCAACACCCAAGTGGCGGGGCGCATCGCGGCCCTGGCGCCGGGCTGCGCCGGGGACCGGGAGGCGCTAGAATACGCCCTGCACGGGGCGGTCCTCTTGGCGCGTCATGGTGCGAGCACTGGGCTGTCCTTTTTTTTTCCCGCTCCTTCTCCCCCCTCCTGGCGGGGCCTCCGCGCGTGGGTGATGTGATCGCTCGCCGTGCCCTTCCCCGGTCGGCGCTTCCAGCTGACATGCGTCCTCCCTTCTGGCCGGTGCATTGACCCAGCCCCCGGCAACGCCCGAGCGGCCAATGGCCACCTGGTCGAGGCGCTGGCCAGCCTCCAGGAGCCCTTTGCCGGGGATCCGTGCGCGGATCTCGAGCTGACCAAGGCCCTGGTGGCGATCGCGAACAATGGTGCGGGGGTGCGGGGGTGCGGGGGGCATGGGCAGCATGGGCCGCCGGTCTTCCGGCCTTTGGCTAACCACGGGCCGGGTCAAATGCAGCGGCCAAAAATGCCCGCGGCCTGAATGCGCGTCTGCGGGAGCTGCTGGCCGCGCGGTCGGGCCCGGAGGCCGAGGCGGCTGTGTCTTTGCTGGCATCCCGGACATAGGCCGCCATGCACCGTGGCATGATGCTGGCCGGTCGTATGTGTGTGTGTGTCTGTGTGTATGTGTGTATTTGGGCCTCGTGCGTGCAATTGCGCCGAGCCGTCCGACGCTGGCTTTTCGGAATACACCTTTCCGGGCTGTCCCTCCGCCATGTCTGGCCCGCTGGGTGGGTGGGTGGGGGGGGGGGGCAGGGGCCGGCGGCGAGCTGCTCACCTGGGGTGGTTTCCCCGGGGCCAGGCCGAGCCGGGGCTTGGGGTGTGCGAGGGCCGGGTCGGGAGGCCTGCCGTGGCGGCGAGGCCCCCGGGGCTGGGCAGATGCAAAAAGGCCATGGGCCCCGGCGCGCCGGTCACCGTCACATCACCGTGTCCGAGTGGTTAAGGAGTCCGATTAGAAATCGGATGGGCTCTGCCCGCGTAGGTTCAAATCCTGCCGGTGATGCATTTTTGCCTGTTGCGCGGAGGGGGTGCGTCCGGGAGCGATCCACATCCGACCCCATCCCGGCATGGGAGGGGGGGGGGGGCCGGGATGGGGAGAGAACACCGGGGCCAAAGCGACGCCATGCCTGGCAGGCATTTTGCCCGAGGCGCGGGGCTTTTTGGCCGCCCTCGAAGGGAAGAGGACGAGGGGCGCGGGCGGGCCGTTGCCTCCCGCGGCGCTCGATGGGCGTCATGGACCGTGTGCAGGGGCGGGAGGGGGGGGGGGCAGGCCCAGACCCCGGGCGGCGTGCCTCAGACGGCGCCATCGCCCTGTGGGCGTCTGGCTAGGGCGGTGCCGCCTCGAGAGCGGGGAGGGGGTCCCCCGGATGGCGGGGCCGTCGGACGGGGCGAGTGCAGCCAGGTGCGGCATGGGCCAAAGGCTCGGGGAGGACGGGCCAGGGTACGGCACTCTGAGCGGGCGACCTTTGGCCAGCGGGGGAACTTTGGATGGGGCGCGGGAGGGGGGGTTGCCTTGTTGCAAGCATGCCAGAGCACGCCGATGGTCGGAGGGAGGGGGGGGGGATACACGGGGCGGGACTTTGGCGAAGGGCCTTCTGTGGCAGAGGGACCTGTTGGCGGAGGGACCTGTTGGCGGAGGGACCTGTTGGCGGAGGGACCTGTTGGCAAAAACCAGGGAAGAGGCTATAGGTCGCACGGATTCGAGCATGCCACAGGGATGTGACGACCACAGGCAGGGTGGCGTCGGGGTGGGGCGGGAAGGGCCGGTGGGGCGCTCGGCAGCCGTGAATAACGAAGTTGCGCTGGGCAGCCCGGCGCTGCGTCAGGCAGGTTGCTTGCGGGCATGCGGCCGCCGTGCGTCCGGCGGCCAACGGGCAGGCGCCCCGGGGGAGCTGGCGATCAGGGGGTTGCGCCATTCGCGGGAAGGGCCCAAAATGGAGCCACTGCCGGGCCCATGGGGATGGCACATGCGCCGACAGGAGACCACGCTCCGGGGTCCGGGGACCCGGGCCGAGCGCCAGGGGGGGTGGGGGGGGTGTCCTCGGTGTGTCGGAAGGCCGCCGGCTCCGCGAAGGGTGGGTGCGGCTGGCGCCGGGTGGTGGCGGCCGAGGGACGGGGCGCGTTGGTGGGGGGGCAGCTGGCCGAATGCGATCCCATGCTGTGACCGCATGTGCGGTGGCCAGCGTCTGCTGGGCATGGCGTGCCGTGGCGCGGCCCCTGGGCTGAGCGCGGATCGGGCGCAAGCGTGCACACCGGGCCCAGGGGGGGCCGGGCGCACACTTGACGGTGTAAGGTGGGCGCCGCAGGTGTGCGATGCCGAGGGGCGGCTCGTGCGTGGGGGACAGGGCCGAGGGCTGTTGCTTCGGGCCGTCGCGTGCCGGGTCCGGGGCGATGGCGGCGGCGTCCGGCGACCGCGGGCGGCTCGTGCCTGTGAAGGGACTTATGGGCGTGTGGGCCGTGCACCTCCATGGCCGTGTAGCTCAATTGGATAGAGCACCTGACTACGGATCAGGAGGTTGTGTGTTCGAGCCGCATCATGGTCAGACCTACTTTTTGCTCGCGCGCTGTGCATTGTTGGCGCCTGGCAGGCGCGCACCCGCTCGGCGAGACATGGGCCCGGGCCTCGTGGGGGGGTGGCGGGGGGGGGGGGGGATCGGACATCCGAGCCGCCTGGAGGACCAGACGGGCGTCCGGGCGGGGGGGGGGGGTCGTTTCGAATGAGAGGCCGGGCGGGCCGAGGGCGTGACGGCCCTGGCTGTCGGTGCGGGGCCCGGCGTCCGGGTGGCGAGGCTCCCCCCCCCGGCAGCCGCAGCGGGCGCCCACAGAGAAGGGGGCAGCACTCCGGCTCGGCTTTTGGGGAGAGGGTGGGACCGACGCGAGGCGCATTCCGCGAGGCTGGTCCCCCAGGGGGATGTACACGAAGGCAGGCGCGCCCTGCGGGGAGACGAGGCGCCAAGGCTACGGAGGGAGGGCCCCAGGAGGCGGGGACGCGCGCGCGCGCGCGCGCGCGGGGGGGAGGCAGGGAGATTGGGGATGGTCGTGCGGGCCGGGCCGGTGGCGGCGTCACCAGGCACATCGGCCAGGGAGGGCGACCGGCGCGGGGGCCCCCTCGAGGAGGGGCCCCTGCATGGGCGGGACATTGGGCAATGCATCCGGCGCGCGTGCTTGGGATCGGGTGCCTCGGGGCGGCGGCCTGCGGACGGCTGGCCGGGCAAGGGGCCGCCTGTCGAGGGGACGGGGCCTCGGCGGCGCCCGGAAGATGGTGCCGGGCGAGCATGCTGAGCCGGCCCGCGTACGGCCAGGCCCGGGTCCGTGTGCAGGCAACCCGGCGGCCAAGGCGCGTGCGGCCCTGTCCGGGCGCGGGGTGGGAGCCCGACCCGCCGGGGGGCCCGAGGCGGAACACCGGGGCCGGGCCTGTGCCATGTGCGAGGAGCGCACTGCGTGGGCAGGCCTCCGGATGCGACAGGGGCCCCTGGGGACCGTGTCCCGGCAGACGGCCGGAGGGGTCTCGGCCCTGGGGCAGGCCTCCGTGCAGACAGGCGCCAAGTCCGGAGGGGGGAAAGCCCGGCAGCCGGCGCCGCCCACGGGGAGGCGCACCCCAGGATGCTGGGGCCCCCGAGAGAAGCAGGGCCGGGGGGGGGAGGGAAGGGGCAAAGACACCTCGAGGCATGCATGCCGCTTGGCTGGAGCGAGGCGCGGCGGCGGCGGGGTCTCCTCAACAGGTGGCCATGCCCGGCGTGGTGATGTCACATGGCGGAGCGGCCACCGCAAGGGGCGGCGGCGGAGGATGGGCGGGGGTCAAGGTGGGGACACGCGAGGAGACGCGCGGCGGCCCGAGGCATGGGCCCTCACAGCACCGGGCGCGATTTGTTTTTGGCGGCGAGGAGCCCCGCCTGCCACGCGCGAGGCCCGGGTTCGTTTCCCGGATCGGAGGCGTCTCCCCGGGAGATGGGGCCGTGGGCGGGGCGCGTGCCTTTTCTTTATTTTGGTCGCACGCGCGCAGGAGCCAGCCCCCTGCCGGCCGGCTGTGTCTCCCGCGCGCCGGGGAGCGGGCGGCGGAGGAGGCGCCGCGCTGTCACAGGCCGGGCGTCGCGCCGCGGGCTCCCGGCCTCAGGCTGACTGTCCGGCCGCATGGGACAGCACCGGTGGCGGACCCGCCGCGGGGCCGCGCGTGCCACCAAAGGCGGCAGTGCAGCTGTCTCGGGGGCCGGGGGCGAAGCGGCGGCGGGCGAGGGGGGGCGGACGGGCGCGAGCCAGGAGGGGAGCCCCGTGTGCGGGAGGGGATGGGGGATGCGGACCCGCGCAGGCGAGCAGCCGGCCATGCCCAGGGCCCGCGGCGCATGGCGCACACCCACAAGAAGGCGGGCTCCCGGGAGGAGGCCACCACCAAGGGGGCGTAGCTCAAATGGTAGAGCGGCCGCTTAGCATGCGGCAGGCAGGGGGATCGATACCCTCCGCCTCCAGTGTTCCTTTTTTGGGCCCGCCCGCCATCGTGCCCCGGCCGAGGCAAGCTCTGCCCCCTCGCTGGTGGGCGTGTGGCCCGGGGGGGGGGGGGGGGGGAAGGGGCCATCGGCGCCGGAAGTTGGTCCGGCGGGCCCCGTGCCGCCGAGCACACGCCGGCCCCGGCCCGGGGTGGAGCCGCCCCCCGTGGTGCTTTCGAGTGGCCGCCGCGGGGGGCGATGGGCAGTCTGGCAGTCCGGGCGACGAGGGGCCCGGTCCTGGTGGCCGGCTGCCCGCGGCACGCGCGCCGCCGGGGCGGCCTGTTGCTCGCGGGAGTCCAGGGCTGGCCGGGTCTGGCTGGGTGACTGCCTCGCAGGAGGTTGTGGAGGAGACGTCTTCCGCTCGGGGGGGGGGGGGGGGGGAATGCGCAGGGGGCCTGTTGACCGGCCGCCCGGCGCGGGCCCGGGATTCGGAACGGAGGCCGCCGCGGGCGAAGGCCGGTGAGGAGGGCTGGCGGCCCGGGCCGGGGCGCGTCGGCGCCTGGTACCCTTGCGACGCGGGCCGGCCGGCCATCGGGGCAACTGGCTGCCCCGCCGGGGCGGAATCCGTCTGTCGAGGGGGCGGCCGCGGGCAGTGTGGCGGGAGGGGCTGTACCCCCTCGGCGGGCCCTTACACATGTCGACGTACCTCCGCGTCTGGGGGAGGGGCCCATGAGGGTATGAGCGACGCCGCCTCGCCGGGAGGGCCGGGCTGGTTGCAAGCGCACGCGCGGCGCGGGTGGCCACCGGGGAGGGCGGGTGGATGTGCGCGAGCGGCGACGCCCTGTTGCCGGGGATCCGGGCGAAGGACATGCGCGCGTGCGCATGGGCCGCCGGGGCGCTTCTGCTCCCTGGGAAGCAGGCGCCTGCTTGCCGGTGGGCGCATTCCGCCCGGGAGCAACAGGGCCCTGGAGCTCGGGTGCCGCCAGGGGCGGGGGCATGTTCGAGCGGTGAGCTGGCTGATGGCATGGGGGGGCGGGGGTGGGCGGCACCTTGAGCATGGCTCGGGAGCCGGCCGGAGCCGGACGCGGCGTGGCTGGGAGTGCAGCCGGACGATGCCGGCCTGGCTGTGTGTGTGTGTGTGTGTGTTGTGAGACCCGGACCATCTCCTCGTGCCTGGGGGTGGGGGGAGCGGGCTGGGTGCGGGTGAGCGGCCCGGGGACGGTCCTGGCGTAGAGCTGGCTGCCGTGTATCGGTCGACAGGGGCGCTGGCACGGGCAGCCCAGGCGAGGGTGGCGCGCGCATGAGCACCCGTGCGAGGCCCATCCCCGGGAGTGGGTCAGTCGGCGGCCCCGGCGCCCGGGTGTGCGGGCAGCATGGGGCCGCTGTGGCGTGGCTGGGCCCTTACCGGGGCCCGGGCACGATGGGTTGTGGGCGCATTCGGCAGCTGACGGCGTGAGCTGGGCACCGGACGGGCCGGGGACGGGGAGGGCCGATGGGCGCACACATTCGCGCGCCCGCTGTGTCCTCCTGCTGAAAGCCGCGCCCTGAGCGTGGCGGTGCCGGCCACCCGGGGGAGCGGGCACAGGGGCAACGACGGCGTCGGTCACAGGAGCAAGCCGCCGGGCAGCCACACTCGTCTGCCTGCCCACTCCCGGGGGGAGGGGCATTGTGCCGCACATTCCTGGTTGGGAGTCGCCCCGCGCGTCGGGCACAGGCCGGGGTACGGGCAGCCGCGGCTTTGGGAGGGGGGGGGATGCCTGGCCCTTCCGGCCGGGGCGGTGCGGCCGCCGCCGAGGCCGACGCACGGAACGAAGCACCCGTGGGGGACTCGGGCCGTGCGCTGGCAACGGCCCGATGCCCAGCGGACAGGCAGGACGCCGAGGGCGGCGACCGGCGGGGGGCCGCCGCACTCCTCGCGGGGCCACGGGCGCCCCATGCGGAAGGAAGCCGGGCCCGGGAGAGGGGGCCGGCGGCAGTGCGATCAACTCGGTACAGCCATGGGCCTGGGGAAGGATCGACACGCAGGCCCGTGTGCCGGGGCCGGCAGGCTACTTGCTGGCCGGGATCCGAGGCGCCGACGGCCTCCGGAATGGCGCAGGGCACCCGGGGCATGGTGCAAAGGGCCGGCTGCCCGGATGCCGGCCCGGCGTCGCGGCCGGCGCGTCGGACCAAATAATGCGCCTCGGCCGCGGGCCTGGCCGTCGGCCGGCAGGAGGCCGCCGGCTCTCAGGGGGGCGGGGGGAGGGGGCACAGCCTGCCACATGCCCCGGGGGAGAATCGAGCGAATGGCCAACGCCCTGCGGGGCTCTTGGATCGGGCCAGCCTCAGGGGGGCATGTGCCCGGCGGGGCGTCCGGCGGCCCCGATCCGGCCATGCGTTCGCGTGCGCCCACACACACACACGGGGCTGACCGAGTCCCCAGGGTCGGCCGGGGGAGGGGGACGGGCCGACGACAGGTGCGTGCCTGCCAGGGGCAGGCCCGCCGCCTGGAGGCACCGAGCTTCCGGCCAGCTGAATGCCCACGAGGGAGCCGTCCCTCTCGCGGGATGGGGCCGCTGCGCGGGCCGGCCAGCAAGCAGGTTGCTTTTTTATGCCTGCTGGCCAGGGGGGCGGATTCCCTGATTGGGTCGGCTAGCGGGCCGAGGTACGAGGCAGCCCGCCGGCGTCCTGCCCCCCCCCCCCCCCCCCCCCGTGCATCTGCCGGCCGATGGCTGGGGTCTTGCGCCTGAGCGGCCTGGCTGGACGCGGGTCAGGGCTTGTCGCGTGAAAGCAAGCATGATGCAGCCTCCGGCCCGGGCCGAGCCGTGGGTGGGACGTGGGGGGAGGGTGCCGGCTCGGCGCCAGGAGTCGCATGCTTGGACAGCCATGGACCTGGTACCTGTGCGCCTGGGCGGTGGCCTGCCGGGACCGGATCATGGGGCCCCTGCCCAGCCTGCGGGTCCGGCTCGATGGCGGCACGGGTCCAAGCCGCGGGATGCCAGGGCATGGTGTGTGCGCGGGTCGGCCGGCAGAGGGCGGCGCAAAGGCAGCGGCCAAAGCTCGCGCCCGGGTCGAGAACGCCCCCCGCGCCGCGGGACTCGCCGGCGGCGGTCTGACAAATGGTCCTGTGCAGCTTTCTCGACCGCGAGTGGCCGGGGGGGGGGGGGGGGCCGCCCCGGAGGCCAGGCATGACATTTGCGGCCTGCGGGCAAGGGGGGCGTACTTCCTTCGGGGAGTTGGGGAGGTGGCACTCTTTCCCGAGCTGGATGTGTGTGCGCCCTCGCCCTTTTCATCGATGTGCCTCTTGCTGCGACACTTGCTCCGGTCCTCTCCTCGGACCACATGCATCCGCCTGCATGCGGGAACATGCCCCAAGACACACACACAAACACGGATGCATGGGCCCCTGCCGGCGGAGCGGCCCGCCTCATTTGGGAACAAGGGGCCCACCCCTGAGGTGACACCCCTGCCGGGCAGGCGGGGGCGCCGAATGCAGAGATCATGGTGCGGGCAGCGGGGGGTGGGCGGGCTGCCCGGTTGGTTGGCGCGCGCGCGCGCGCGCACGCGGACCGATCGGGGCCTCGAACATCGGCTCGCGTGCCAACTATTTAGATGGTTTGTGGGCGGGGGGGACTATGCGGGTCAGACCCTGGTGCCCCTGTCAGACCGCGGGTCGGCCACAACAAAATGCCGTGCTGATTATTCGTTCGTTTTGGGTTTTTTCCCTGCGTATCCCCCCTCCGTTCGGCGCCCCATGTCCCGGCGCCCGGGAGCCCGAGCGCGACGAAGCCCCCCCGGGCCACGCATGTCGGTCACCGTCGTTGGCAGGCCCACCGCGATCGGCGTGCCTTAGTATGGGGCCTCAACAGGCCCTCCTGCGGATACTCCCCTTGGTTCAGTTCCCGCGAGGTGCGGGGGGGGGAGAGCACCGACCGGGACCCGCAGGAGCCCTCGGGTCGGAGGGCGCGGGGCGGGGGGGGGGAGATGCCTGGGGTCACGGCTGGCGCTCTTGCCGGGCCGGCGGTTGACGGCCAGCAAGCGAGGCCCCCCCCTCCCCCCCCCGGCAGGCCCCAGCCGTCGGTGTACGAGCGTGTGCCAGGCCCGAGAGCAGGAGAGCCGGGCGGCCCTCCGCTGCCCCTGGCCCTGATGGACCTGCCTGCCTGTTCCGCGCCCCGCCGAGGATGGCCAAAGGTATTGCCCCGGCGACATGCCAGGCGGAGTGCCGGTCGTTTGGGGGGGGGGATGTATCCAGACACGGGCTGGCTGGCGTTGGATGTGTGTTGGGCCCCGGGCAGGACGGGCCTTTCCGCCTTGCTCGGGGTATGTCTGCGCGGCGCGAGGCATGGCCAGGGAAAGGGCGAAGGAGGCCGTGTGAGAAGACCAGTCGTGTCCGGCAGCGACATCGGTCCCGGGCCTCTGGGCTGAGTGCCGGGGAGGTGGGATCCTCGCGGCGGCGTGGCCGGCGGGCCTTGGCCACATGTGGAATCGGCATTTCTGGCAGCCAGGCGGGCAAGCACCGCCGGGCGTGCTGGGACGGCCATCCGGACGCGTGGGCCCCTCCGCCCCCAGGGGGCCGGCGATGGTCGGCCCAGTGGTCGCGGTGCCCCGACAGGCCCGATTGCTGGGGGACGCCTGGCGGGGACGGCCGCCACCCCCCTCCCCCGGCGGCAATGCGGCTGCGAAGATGGGGCCAGCATCGAAAGACGGTCGGTGTGGTGGCCCCCAGCGGGCCAAGTGGGGCGCCGGCCGGGCTTTCGGTGCCGGCGGTCGGCGTCCGGCCCGCCCTGCGGTGCGTCATGGGCTGGCTGTGCCTCCGGCCGGGGCGCAGGGGAACAAATCTGGCGAGGGGCGGGCATCCGTGCGGACGATTGCTTTCTTTCGCCTCCGCCGCACCCCCCCAGCACTGACCTTCCTCTTTGTTCTTTTTTTTTTCGCAGTATCGCATCCATCCTGCTGCCCGCTGTGCCCGTGAGGAACATGACCGCCAGCGCGTCGACCCATGTCGGCACCTCCGAGCATGGGCCCCGATGGAGGACTACGCCCCGGCCGGGCAGACCGCGCAGTGCGTGGCCGGCCCGCCGGCGGCGTGTGTCGGGCCCGAGCCAGGCAGGACCGGGGCCACCGAGGGCACGGGGCAGCATGCCCGGCCGGGGTCGGAGGCGTCGGACGAGGAGAGCGCCGAGTCCCCCCCCCCGCCATCCCGGCATCGGGCATCTCCAAGATCTGGCCCCCGGGTCGGCGCCGGTCGCGCCGGAGACATACCTGATGGCTGCAGAGGGGCCCACCTGGGACCCCGAGTGCATCCCCTTCCGGGACTACTCGGCGTACACGTCCTACTTCCAGCAGGCACGCGTGTTGGTGCTGCCGGGGCCGGGCCCATGTCCGGGCCAGGCTTGGTGCCCCGGCGTCGAGGCCCGGGAGGGGCGAGTGGTCGGATCCGGCGGCCGCGGGCAGGGGGGAGCGAGTGAGGCGGCCGGGCCCGCGAGAGGAAGGCGCAACCGGGGCGCCAGGCCAGGGCGCACCGTGCGCAGGGCGGGCCACAGCCCGGGCGATGTCCGCCAGCTCGGAAGGATGCGACGGGCTGCCGGCGTGGCCGAAGAGCCTGGGCAGGGCACGCTGCCCGGCGTGGGGAGGGCCCGCCGTCAGCAGGGCAGCAGCTGCGTGGCCGGGCATGGACACGGCAGGGAGGGCGGGTCAGCGCGACTCGGGCCCGATTCGGGTCCGGCAGGAGAGATGGGCAGCACGCACAGGCAAGTGGGATGACATGGAGCAGGAGAAGCGGCTGGTCCTGGTCGAAGTCGACCTGGTCCAGGATGGTGTCCATGAGGGCGATGAGCAGCCCGTGCGCGGCTTCATGCGGGGGGGGGGGTTGGATTCGGCGGCGCCGGGGGGCCAGCCGGGCGCGGCGCGGATCGCATGTGCCACCCGGCGGCCGTGGGCCCGATCGAGGGGCTCGGCCATCAGGAGGGATGGTCGCGTGCAGGAGCAAGAACACCTGGCCCAGGATGCCGGACCCGCGCGGGATGTCGGCCTTCAGGAGAAGCGTCATGTTGAAGGTGATCGGCAGGAGGGGCTCGGCGTCGGGCAGGCTGTCTGCATGCATGCCGGGGAGGGGGGGGGGGGGGGGCGGCGCTCGCGGCCAGCATCCGCCATGCTGCGCCGCACTGCCGGGCCCATGAGGTGCGTGGTGCGCGCCGCTGACCGTGGGGGCAGCAGGAGGCGAGTGCAGGAGTTGGGGGCGAGCGAGGGAGCGGCGGCGAAGAAGACAGGCTGCATGCATGAGAGCATGCGGTTGTCCTGGCGCAAAGGGGGGGGGGGGGGGGGCCATTCGCCATCTCGGACAGCCGACTATGGTGGAGGCCGAAGGAGGGCCGCCTTTCTGCGACGAGGGGGCGCGGGGAAGGGCGGCGCCGGGTTGGCGGGGGGGCGCACAGAACCACGTCTAACGTCCTGGTGAATGGCAAGACGGACGGGCATTGCTGGGCGCGTGGCTCTAGCACATCATGTGCGAGCCTTAGCCAATAATGTCTTTCTTCGAAGGAAAACGCGAATTTATATCATCTGATGGTGCGAGACGGACAGCCAACGGACGGGTTGCTGGATGGGAGGCCTCCCTTGGGTTTGTGTTTGCGGTGTCCTGTGAAGTGGCGTGCGATCTCCTTGCGCATGCGCTCCTGCTCGCTGGGGCTGGGCTCCCTCCCCGATCTGCTCTTTGGGGAGAGGGGCCATGTGTGGGGATCTATTTGTGGGCGTGGGGGGCGCATGCGCGGGGGCGGGGGGGGGGCCTGTTTTGGGGCACATGGCAACCTCTGTTTCCCCCCTCCCCCTCGCTCTCTCTCTGTCTCCCTCTCTCTGTCTGTGTGCACGCGCCTTTCTCCTCTTCTCGCCTTCTCCCTCGACCTGTCTCATCAGATGTTGGCTTCAAGGACGGCCATGCGAGCCCTGCGTGCGTGGGGCTCGCCGGCATTGGCGACGGCGGTGGCGGCCCGGCGGGGCTGGTCTCTGGCCGGTGTATGGTCCCCGGCCGCC